CCCTACAGCAAATCCACAGTCATGAAGATCCTTTACCTGCTCTTTTCTGTCCTCCTCTTGGCACTTCAGGTTTCTCCAGGTAAGGTGGAAAAAAAAGATGCTAGAAGGGGATTTTTGTGCACCTGACAGAAACTTTGAGCACATTTCAACCACTACTTGCTAAAATTTTAACTACTAATGGTTAAAATAGCTCAAAACTGAGCAGGAGCTCATCAAATAGCTCAGTGCCTGTGCTGCTCTATGAAAACTCTTTCAAAGGTGGAGAAATTAGGACTTCTGAAGAAAAGTGATTTTTCACTTCTGGTGTCTTCCTAAAAATATCATGCAAAATGCTCTGGTGTTAGACACCTGAGATGGTCCCTGTTGGAGTCATGGTGCTTGACAGTGCAGATGAGTATGAAGGGTAGCCAATTATTTTCAGACAGAAGCCAGTATTAAAGCCTCTGGACACGTAACCACAAGGTAAAGGACAACGAGTCAGGTCTCTATCATTCTCCACCTGGGATTAAAGGTCATTTAGCTGCATTTTGAGCTGAAGATCCCACTTCTGCAAGGTGTAGACCTACTTTGTAACCTTACCTCTTACATGGCCTTTTACCATGGCCAGCTGTGGTCAATAGTCTTTAAGGCAGTTGGTGGTGAAGGCAGCTCAACACACGGGGGATTCTGTTGGCTGCATTTTCCAAGAGGGAAGGACATTTTTTCCATGTTGTTGCAGGTTTCTCTTCACCCCGGAGGGACATGTTGTTCTGTAGACATGGGTCGTGTCACTTTGGAAGATGTCCATTCCATTTGGTTAAGGTTGGAAGCTGCTTTGGGTTCCGCTCCTGCTGCAAACCGTGAGTTTGACGCTTACCAAGGCTTATTGTTTTCCAAATGAGCAGGCAAATCTGTTTGTCTGCTCAATGCTACTGAATGTTCAGACTGAATCTAAGGGAAAGCCCTATGATGCCATGAGAACAGTCAAGAATTGAAGCAGGTTGAGCTCTGCTCTGCTCTTTCTCCTGAGATGTGCACCGCAGAATCATAGTCATAGAATGGTTTGGCTTGGAAGGGACATTCAAAGGTCATTTAGTCCAACCCCCTGCAGGGAGCAGGGACATCTGCAGCTAGAGCAGGGTGCTCAGAGTCCCGGCCAACCTCCCCTGGGATGGTGCCAGGGATGGGGCAGCGACCACCTCTCTGGGCAGCCTGGGACAGGGCCTCACCACCCTCAGCATCAACAATTTCTTCCTTCTCTCCAGTCTAAATCTCCCTCTTTTAGTTGAAAACCATCCCCCTTGTCCTATTACAACAGGCCTTGCTAAAAAGATAGCCCCATCATTCTTCTACACCCCCCTGAAGTCCTGGCAGCCCCCAGAAGGTCTCCCTGGAGCCTTCTCTCCAGGCTGGCCAAGCCCAACTCTCTCCTGGTGGCCTCCCAGCAGAGGGGCTCCAGCTCTTGCATCATTTTTTTGACCTCCTCTGGAGCAATGACCTACCCTGGAAAGAAAGATAAAGTATGGTCACAGATGTCCACATTGTGTGGTTCCAGCTCTCTTTGGCCCCTTTACATCTCCTGTTCCAGAGTAAAACATCAGGGTTTGGGATTTGCAGAAGAGGGCTGCTGTGCTGTGTGGGGAGCAGAGGAGAACTCAGTTACACTGCAGCTGAGCACAGATCTGAGTGCCCTCGAGTGCATGCAAAGTGTTGTAAAAAGGAATTACCATACAAAAGGTAGACTTCTGTTTTCATTCAGGAATGAATGTATTCACACCAGTATCAAGGGATATCTGTTTAATTGCCTCCTTTTCCTGAAGCAGTAGGAAAAGAATTTTCCTACCCACAGGTAAGAAGAGTGTGGGCAGCAGGTTGAGGGAGGTTCTTTTCCCCTTCTACTCTGCCCCAGGGAGGTCATGACTGGAGTGTTGGGTCCAGTTCTGGGCTCCCCAGTTCAAGAGAGACAAGGAACTACTGGGGAGAATCCAGTGGAGGCTGTGGAGATGCTGAGGGGCTGGAGCATCTCTGTGCCAGGCCAGGCTGAGAGCCCTGGGGCTGCTGAGCTGGAGAAGAGAAGCCTCAGAGGGGATCTGAGCAGTGCTGAGCAAGAGCTAAAGGGCCCCGGGGGGCAAGAGGCTGGGGCCAGACTCTGCTCAGTGGTGCCAGTGACAGGACAAGGGGCAACGGGCACCAACTGGAACCCAGGAGGTTCCATCTGAAAAGGAGGAGAAAATCCTTTGTTGTGAGCCTGGAGCAGCTGCCCAGAGAGGCTGTGGAGTCTCCTGCTCTGGAGAGATTCCAAATCTGCCTGGATGTGATCCTGGGCACCCTGCTGTGGGTGAGCTGCTGGAGCAGGGGGGTTGGACCAGATGATCTCCAAAGGTCCCTTCCAGTCCCACCATGCTGTGAGTGCACAGGGCTGTCCCAGCCTGACCACACCTGATACCAGGTATTTTGGCAAGTATTTATACCCAAGAGGAAAATATGCAGGGACTGAGAGGAAGTAAGGAGAGAATACAGGCAGAAAGATAATCTGAATCTTGTTTTATTTTTCCCTTTGTGCAGGCCATGGTACACACAAAAACTTCGTGGACTGCCCAGTCAAGAGTGGTGAAAACTTATTCTAAACCTGGGAATTTGCTTTGAAGGCCTTTGCTGCTAGAACCACAGGATCCAGCTACAAAGCCTCGTGCACTTGCAATTTTTAATGCAAAAAGCTTTATGATGTAGAGTAAACCCAAATGTATTCTGCATTGCTTTCCTTCTTTTTCAATAAATTGTTGTTGTTCAGCACTCCCATCACTGAAATGTGTGTGTCTGTTCACAGGCTGAGGGCAATGATCCTCCCTGGCTTTTGACACACAAACCTTGGAGGATGGGGAGGAGAATTGGGGAAAAAAAAAACAACAGTAAAACTTGTGGATTTAGATGAGAACATAGTCCTTAATAAATTATTAATGAGTCCTTTTAAAATATAATTTAATAATTAGAGGCATATTTATCAATAAATTATTAATAAATAAGTTTTCTTAGGAAATAATTAATGGAAATAAGATAAAAA